CCTCCACCCAGTCTCTAAAGGGAATTATTGGGATAGATAACTTTCTGAATTGTGGCACAAACTCTAATGCTTATTTCTGAAAACTTGTTTATTAAAGCCATTGTGTCAGTGAAGTTGATATGTCTGCAGTTCTGCTCACCACAGGTCTGTGGAATGTGTACTGCATGTATTTCAATACTTTTGGAAGAACATAATGTGTGAAGAAAATTTTGATACACTCGTAGGAAATCATTTTTTTTTAATTATGTGAGATTTGATGTTTTTTAAAATACTGTCATGTAATCAAGTGACTACAGACTGAGTTTGGATTGGTAATCAGATTTATTGGACAATTTAACGCACAGCTTATGCCTACACTCTACAAATCGCTGTCACACACAGACTAGTGTTCTCAGTCACAGTCTTCGCTGTGCTGCTTGATAGTGGCTTCTAACAGTGAATGTTCCTCTGCTTCCGGGCTCATGTCCTCGCAGGCTGGTGGCCATCTCACATCAAACTCCTCTTCTAACTCCCATATCAGGTCTCTTCTAATGGCAGCTGGCCCTTCTTATATAGCCTGGGGTCAGACCAAATAGAAAACACCACTTCCACCAGTTCTCTTGTTGCATGCTCACACTGTTTAGCAATGACTCTGGTACTGATGCGTGCTTACACAGTGGTTGCCTGCAAAGGTTGTTTCGCCTGGACCCACAAATCCTGCTTTGAGCAAACATGCCACAATATTATAAACTTACTGTTTACATACTTAGCACATAAATTGATGGTGATTAATGCAAAAGAATTTTGAATTTTACAATCCTACCACCTTAAAGAGTTACTCTTTAAGACCTGAAGAGAGTTTTGATGTGTGTGAGTAATAATTACTTGTGCATGCGCAGACGTCGTAACCGTTCCGTTTTTACAAACCCGATTTTTTTATGAAGGCACCATCATCTGGGATGTGACACCAGCATTTGAGTAGAATGTATTGCCTCCATGTGCAGGACTGAACAATAAGCCAAACGAGTAGCCAGTAAGAAGCAGAGTTCTGTCTTGCTTGCTTGCCCGACTTCCTACTCTTTGATCATGAAGAGGGAGGTGTTAACACTCACTGAAACATGAGTGAATCAGTGGGCTGTGCAGTGTTGCATCAAGAAGATAGTACCTTCATAGTCCCTGCTGTGAGCATCTTGGATAACTCTGTTTCTATTATCACTGTATCCTGTGACTCTGCTCTTTGGATCATTCACCTTATTGGTGCAGTAATGCTCACTGACTTCTAAATTTATTTGTGTTTATTTGAAGTAACTCATTGGAGACAGACTGAGCAAGCAGATTCATACTTATATTCGGAAAGTCAGGGTACTTCTGCAGTTTCCCTCCGTATCTTCAGATACATGCCAGGATAGCACCTTACAACAGGCCATGGCCACTCTGTTGCTGATCATCCAGCCCTGCAGTGCATTATGGTCAGCTGTTAATAGCATCATTAAATAAACCATGAATATAGAAGTAAATAATTTGAATTGAGTTACATATGAGACGTTATGGTTGGCTTTTGTACCTGAGTAGTCCGTGGCTCTTATCTGCATTTGTGGTTTTCTTCTGTGACATATCATCTTAATGTATAGCAGTTTATTGCAATGTTGAGAGGGTTGCAGATTATAATTGATGGAAGAAAAAGTGCATGGAATGGCAGATTTTAAATTCCATGAGCTGTTTAACATAATACATTAATGAAATGTGTACTTGTTATGTTTCAGTGTCTGTCATGAATGCAACAGTTTAATTATAGTCAAATTATGGTCATGATGACAGGGTTCCTAAGAAAGATTTTAAAATATCAGCGGAAAGGAAAAAAATTTGGGAAGACCTCTGAAGTGATGGAAGAATTCTGGCTTGTGTTGTCTGTAACATGTGTTAATAGGCCTAATACTGGAAAGGATGGTGCTCATAAGGATGAAATTGTGGTGTATCCCTGCTGTTGGAAATGCTTCCAGAGCTTGAAACAAAAGTTACACTTGGCCTTATAGTCACTAGCATAAACTAGATAGTGTTTTTAGACCTGGCTCTTCTCAGCAGACTTTCATGTGAGTTTGGTTGAGTCCACTAACTGAGATTATGATTGTAGGGTGAGAGTGGACTTTGACAGGATTATAGTTAGTGTCTCTCTCTCTCTCTCTGACCCTTCCACAATGCAGGTGCAACACTACCTTTGCGTGTCTTGCCAGTCTTCTCACCACTTCTTGTTACTTGCATCCCAGAGGCCAGGTCTGGAGACACTTCCCATATTTTATTATCCTGCTGGGAGAAGTGCTTTACTGCTTCACTCAGTTCTTTGCTGTGGAGAGTAAACTCTGCAGTAGTATTATATTGAAACAAAGACTAGGCACAAGTTTATTATTATTACTATTAAATAAAAATGTTCAATTCTGTTCAGATTTTGCTTTGTTGTTGTAGTTATTAACGTCTGTATGTTGTAAATACTTAATCTTGGATATTAGTTGATTGATTTAACAGCATTGAATTTAATTTGTGTCTAAATTATTTAATGTGGTGTGTTTTATTCTTTTAATTTATATAATACACAAATGCAAAATATGAAATTCTAAACTTGTATAATGTATTTGAGTGAATGGCTCTGTGTGTGTGTGTGCGCGCAAATGAAGCATGTTTGTGAATGAGAATTGGTAGATGAGTAATGGAATGTCTTACTCTCACTTTAATGTAACATGAAATTGCATATTTTCTCAGTGCCAAAAAGATCGTCACTGATGGTTTTTTTCTACTGATTGAATTATTTAAAATTCAAAGTGTGATTGTCAAAAAAATAATAAAGTCATATAAATGCCAATGATTGATATATGTATATTTCATTTGTTTAGTTGCTAAAACATGATTTTCACTTCATAAAGAAAGTAAGCATGCTCCCAGTTGCCAGTGGCTCATGAAGAGGATGTTGCATGAAGTCTAAGTTGGCCTGTTGCTGCATCCACTGTGAGATGCTAGCTAAAGTGTTTCAAATGTTACACCCTCAAACACCATTTTTTCTGCCTTTTATTTTACCAAGCCTGTGAATTTGTTTTTATATACATTTAAAGAACTTACGAACTTTGCAAGTTGAAATAATTCCTTTGTTAAAGGGCACTGTGTCAGAGGATGTGCTGCTGTATAGTCCAGTTGGAGCTCATGTATGTTTCCGAGGAACATACTGCCTCCATCTTCAAGGCTGAGGAGTAAGCCAAACATACAACCAACAAGCAAGAAACAAAGCTGACTCTTCAACCCTGAAGATTGAGGCAATATGTTCCTCTGAAACTGTGATGGATTTTAGATGGTGTCACCCCAAGAGATGCCACCCTCATGAGTACCTAAGATTTAACACTTTTGTTAACATTTGAAACCATTGAGTTCTGTCAGGAATGTGCTTGTCTTGTTTTGTTCTATTTGGTGTTGGTATTTTAAAATTGCCAATTGGTATCACATTACAGATTTCAGTTTAAGTCACTTTACTGAGCATGTTGGCTCAAGCATTGACACTTCCAACTTAATCTTGGCCAGGACACCAACTGTCCTGAGGTTTTTGTGGTTTTCCTCTGCCACTTCAGTTAGGCCATGATGACTTCCTTCTTTGTCTTTTCCAATTTATTATTTGCTGATCATCCTGTCACGCAGTGCTGTGTAGTCTGAGCTACTGACAGTGTTGTTAAATAAGCCATAAATAAATGTTGATCTTCCATTTCACAGGTAGCATATATGAGTATGCCCTCAGTCTTATAATATTGTATAATATTATTCATGTTTTCTGTGGTGTATACTGTGTATTGCATCCACGTCATATTTTAAACTTGATACTGTATAATAATATATTTGAGCATTCTGTTGCATTGATGTATGACTCACTCACTCACCTACCTACCTCAGTCTTTAATGCAGCTCCGTTCTCAGTCTCTTTAATTTAAAATAACGTTAAAATCACAATGAACTGCTACATGTTTAAACCTTGGCCATCTTTAGGCAAGTGTTCACTTTTTGAAACCATCGCACTACTAGATCTTAAGTCAGTATATTTCCATTCTCTTGCATGACCGTTGTTCACACTAAAGTACGTTTGTCTGAGAATAAAACTCCCTCCAGTCTGCATTATTTTCCTTTTGCAGCATGCATGTTAGTGCTCCTTCGTATGTACCCACTAGTTGGCCCTGTGTCCTTGTATCTTTGATGCAGCTTAAAACTTTTCACAATCTCTCTTTAATTTAATGTAACAAGGGACATATGCCCAACTAGTGAGAACACATATGCAAAGGGGGCACAAATGTGGACTCTGCAAAAGGAAAATAATGCAGACTGGAGAGAGTCTTATTCTCAGACAAATATATTTTTGTGTGAACGATGATGTGCGACATTGTGGAAAAATGTATTGACTTACTGACTAGTGCAGTGCGATGGTTTCAGAAAGTGAACAGATTCCTGGAGGTGGCCAAGTAAGGCTGAAACATATAGCAATTGATGTGATTTTCCAGCATGAAAGATAAAGCTTCAACATGATGGTATTTTTGGATGTGATGAAAGTTCATTATTTAATGACACTGTCAGTATCGAGACTACAATGACTGATGATGGGGTGATTTGTGACTGGAGCAGATGGTGGAATGAGAATTGGCAGGGGAGACAGAAGTACTCAGGGAAGACTTGCCTCCATTCCATGCCATCTACTGCAAATCACACATTACTTGGCCTGTGTTCAAACTTGATGGGACACTGGCAACTGTCCGCCTGAGTTTTTCAAAGCAAACTGTTGCTGTGTTTATCTTCAAAATGTTGGTATCTATCCACCAAACTACACAGTGTCACATCCCACCACAAGAACCTCAGGTTTCATGCAGATAACTTGTTGGCAGTTCTAAAATGCAGTTCTGCAAAGCTGTGCATTGTTTCCCCCCTGTGTGTGTTATGTCTGCAGTTCAGCCTGGCACTCATATTTTATCTATTATTTAGATTTGCTTTCTTTTAAATTTCAGACCCATGGACCCGGTTCCTAAACATGTAGTTAGGTATGTTAGCCACTTCATGTATTTTTTCTTATAGAATTAGTATGTTTGTTTAGTTTCAGTTCAGTTTATTTATGCATGTTTATAGAATTTCTTGAAATGTGAGGAGATTGTTTATATGTTGGCTTATCAGCATCAATTTCCATGCTATGTATGATTTGAAGCATTCATGGTGATGGTATACTACAAAGTCTTCTCAGACATTCAGCCGTGTCAGTGTGGAGTTGGTGTTCAGTGCTTCAGAGACTGTGCCTGTTTCTATCAGCAGGGGTGAAGTGATGGGTTCTGTGTTTGGTGCAAGGTGTACAGTTAACAGCTGCCACAGCACATACTGCCAAAGGAACCCTGGGCAATGTCAGAATGTCAGTGGGATGGGACATCAACGTTAGGCTCCACCCATTGTTTCAGCTGCTGTACATGCTGGTGCGCTTGTCAGCTGACTTGTATAAATACAAGTGTGCACATGAAACCTTGGTGGTGGGGACAGGTGGTCTCTGAAATGGCAGACACTATCTACACATCAGCACAACTACTGAGAAAGGTTTCGTGCAATTTGCAGGGTGTAACGTAGTCTGAAAACTGCAAAAGAATATTCTGAAGTGGCACTGGTTGTCAAGTACTGAATGTAATTCATAACAGCTGTGCTCTTTCAACAGATCAATATCTGGCATGGATTTCTTGTGAACAAAGTTTCTGCTGTAGTTAATGAATTTCCTTAAATTAGTGAGACATCCATATTTTTTGGTTTTTGTGTTGTCTCACAGATTTGGAAGTGGAGGAAATTGGCATTATGTTCTTCTGAGATGTGACACCGTATGCTTTTATAAATGGGTACCAGCAGTTTCAGAGGATCCTACTGCCACTGTCTTCATTGTAAATTTGAAAAGTTGTTGCATGTCTGTGAAATTGCATGGTGTCACTTCCCAGAAGACTGAACTCTTTCGATACTTGACTCCATGAATAGCTCAGGTCTCATGTAAGGAAATTAGTTTGCTGCTTGGTGAAAATCATTTTAAGTTTTACTGTGTATGCTTTTTATTAGTAGCACTTCTGTTTCAGAATTGGCATAACTTCTAATTGTATATTCTGCTCTTCTGGGGGGGGGTTACCGACATTTCAGAGGAGCGTGACAGCTCATTTGTAGGACAAAGGTGAGATGCATTGGAAAGGTAGCACTTCTGCATAACCTTCAGCCGAACGCATTTGCTCAGCTCACCCTGATGATGGATGCATTATGTTCCTGTGAAATATTCGTGCCACTGACCAGACTATATGGCATCATAATTCAGAAGATCAAAATATGCATCTGCACTGCTATAAAAACCAGAAAAATTATATCTGAATATACAGTCTCTGGTATATACATTATAACATCTGTCATAAATGTGTATTTTTCATGCTGTGATCATATTACTTGTACATTAAAGTTAAAATCATTCAGAAGCATGAAGTTTTTGTTGTACTATTGCCCAATTTTTTATTGTCTTTGAAGGGAGGATCTTTCATTCTTCATTTGTGTGTGTTGCATAACTGATGAAGGAATTTGTAATTTATTGTTACAGCAACACAGCAAATGATGACCAGGTAAAACCACGATCCCTTAGATTTACATGGAGCATGAAGACTACTTCATCCCGAGATCCAAATGAAATTATGGCTGAAATTAGAAAGGTAATTTGTATTCTGTAGCGTAACTTATTTCATTGCCCTTCTTGACAAGTAGATATTTTGCAAAATGATGTCTGTTTTGTATAGTTACCAGTAATCTAAATTTTACTCTTCATTTGATGAAATTAACAATAACAAAGATCTACAGTCAACCTGGGTATGACACCATGTAGTTCAGTAGGTGGATACCCAGGAGACAAGCAGAAATGTTACTGTAGTCTTGCTCACATTGCTCCAGGCTGAGTGTGAAAGACAAGAAAGACTGCAGCGATCGCACGTGAGGGAAAGGTTGTTCCCTAGCCGAATAACCTCCCTGTATTTCCTCATTACAATATAGTAAATTCCCGTTTATTTGGCATATATTGTTAATGTGTTTGCCAGTTGCTGGCATGGTTGCATGGGGCACAGCTCTTATGGAAACCCAATACAGTGTCAGAACAATACATTTTCACCTGGGAGTCTTCGAAGGCAACAGAATGGATTGATACATACACTTGTAACATGAACACAAATTTGAGTAGCCTCATCTCTAACTGCACCTACGTGATGGGCAGTGCGACTAGTGGTAGGTGAACATAATGCCTGTTGCAATGTCGTTTTGGAAGTGAGGTAAAGGTAAGCTAAAGCTGTCCCTATAATAGTTCTAGACAGTTGGTTCGCTGATGGCATGAGGTC